AATAGAAGGGCATATATACAAAACAAACATCCAACAATATTCTCAATAGCAAGTAATTTAAAGCACCGCCCCTCCCCCAAACAGGAACCATACAAGGATGGCCTTTATCCCCACTCTTACTCAATATTGTAATTGAAGTCCCAGTCAGAGTTACATGACAAGAAAGGGATAATAAAAGGCATCCAGATTTGCAAAGGAGAAATAAAACTATCTCTATTTGCAGATGATGGGAGCTTTGGTAGCATAGTGCCTAAAGCACTTGACTACTAACCAGAAGGCTGGCAGTTCAAACCCACCAGCCACTCCTCGGAAGGAAGATGGGGCATTCTACACTTTCATCCAAATCACAATAAAAAAAATAAAATAAAACCCATAAACCCATAGAACTATACAAAACAAAGAGTGAACCCTAACATATGCTATGAACTCTAGTTTATAATTGCTGTTATTTTTAGATGCTGTCGAGTCAGTTTCAACTCATAGTGACTTTATGTACAACAGAAAAAAACACTGCCGGATCCTGCACCATCCTCATAATCCTTGCCATGCTTGAGCCCATTGTTGCAGCCACTGTGCCAATCCATCTCAGTAAGGTGCCAATCCATCTCATCAACAGTCTTTCCCTTTTTTGCTGACCCTCTACTTTATCAAGCAGGATAGGTACCTTCTCTGGGTACCAGTCCCTTCTGACATCATAACCAAAGTACATGAGATGAAGTCTGGCCATTCTCCCTTCTAAGGAACATTCTGGCTGTACTTCTTCCAGATTTATTCATTCTTCTGCCACTCCATGGTATTTTCAGTATTCAGCACCAACACGTTTCAGAGGCATCAATACTTCTTCAGTTTTCCTTACTCATTGTCCAGCTTTCATGTGCATATGATGTGATTGAAAATACCATGGCTTAGGTTAGGCACGCCTTAACACCTTAGTTTTCAAAGTGACATTTTTGTTCTTTAATCATTAATAATAATGTATTAATATTGGTGTGCTGATAGAAACAAATATACCACCAGAATTCAAAATATTAGTAATAGAGGAAACTCTAAAAAAAAGTAAGTCTATTAATTTAAAAAAAATTAATTAAGGACTGACAGGAGCAATCACATCATATACTACATTTTGATTACTAATTTCTAGGAATAATGAACAAGAAATTTTGCTACTTTAGAAACTGGTGAAAGAATCCTCAAAATGCACAACAAAAAAAAGGGCTTTCAAATTATTCAAAAAGAAATTAGTGCAAATATTAACATATAAATGCTGAAATTTTGGGTACTGGTGAAATAGTATGCTTTTCTACATTTTAAATATACTCCCAAGAAACTAAACATCCCTACAACAAATGAAACAATTCTTAGAAAGCTGCTATAAAGACCAAATGAAACCTGTCAATTACATCTTCAGAGAACTTTCCAAAAGCTTTGAAAATTATTCCTTTTTAAATGAATTTTTACAAATAGTTAAATATCTTAACTTAAATAGTACAAAGAAACATACTTTCAATGAACTGGTAACAGTACAAAGAAAAAAACTTTTGGTGAACTGGTAAATATGGCAAAAAGTTCTTTTAATAAATTGCTTGAAAGCTGGCCTTCCCTCAAAGAAGGGGGGCCCTGGAACAGAGCCTCTCCGGGTTGGTGTTTGTCACTCCATCTTCACTTATTGGTTCTCTGATTACTCTCTTGAATGAAAAATGCATCAGATAGACACTACAGTACGAATGCAAGTTAGCAAAATCCAATACTCAGCCTAGGACCCTTGCCAGAGAACTAGAGTTAACATCCTTTCTGTTTGAAACTAGGGGAAGAAAAAAGAAGAAGGGAGGGATAGAAGGAAGTGAAGTGTCACAGGGACCTCTAATGGCCACATTTATGCTTAATTTCAGTGAGGAGTGGAAGCTGAGTCTGGTGCTTTCTAACATCCTATATTTGCCTTCCTCAACTGAAGTTCACACACAGCCAGGCTGCACATTCATTATTGCTCTCTGGGCACAGTAATTTAACAGCAACAGGTTTGATTTGGATTTGGAGCACAGCTAGGTTTTGGGTTCAGCAGAACAGATTGCAGATGAAATGAGAGAGATGGCTCTAAGATTGTCACCACTGGATGGATCTGCAGGATTGGATATCCTTCACCATCTGAGTTACAGGTAGCTAACCTGGGTCAAGAAGGAATTCATGGACTTTCCTAGATTCTAGCAACTAGAGCTGAAAAAAAGTCATTATTCATGGGTCTCTAATCCCAAGTATCAACCCGCACTGCGTCTGGGGGCATCATGAGAGTTTTGCATCCAAGAGGGAACAGGTTGGTACATAATTTACAATAATGATTCCCTGGGCAGGGGTCAGAGGTTAGGTGCCTACTGAAGAAGCCCTTTGCTTCAGTTTCCTGAATCCTGATAGGAATGGCCCTCTTCCTAGAGTAGGAGAAGTCAACTAGCATGATGTGAGGGGCCCACCAATCTACTTAGCACCCCAGATGGCCACCAATCATTAGTGTGTGACAAATGCATCCAGGTCCTATTAAAATGCTCATTGTCAGGAGTTAATCCATTAATGTCCACTAACCTATCATATGGCAAAGAAATTGAAGTTCTCACTAAAAAGATTTCATTCTTCTTGGATCCATGAGCAATGCCAATGGAAGTAGCAGTCAAGAAATCAACCAAATCTTCCAGTAAGATGGCAGAATAGGCAGAAAAGCTACTCAGACCCTCTACAACAAAGAAAGGAGAAACCAATTAAAACAGAGATGATAATCCTGGAATCTTGAGCTTTGGAGGGAAGGAAAAAGAAATGGATTAAATACTGATTATCAGAAGAAACTGAATGAAAACATCAAATAAAAAGACAAATAGAGCTGTAGACTGTCAATTGGACTGATGGCGTGGCCATTTTGAATATTTGCAAGCACCATTCCAATCAGGGCAGCAACCTGATAATCAGCTCCTCTAACCAAGGACAGCATGGACACCTACATGGGTGGCTGGTTACCAGAAAGCAACTGTGCCCACATGAACCAACCACATCTGCACTTCCAGCAGCCCCACCAATTATGGTAATGATAGATGGCAGCCAATACCAGCCCAACCCACACTCAACTGGTCTACATGAACATGAACAGAGATCTGTGCACACATTCTCATCTGCTATCAAACTCACCAGGAGACGGGTGGTGACTGCCTAAGTACTGTCAAACTAGCAAGTAGAGCAGCACACAAGTTCCACTCTTTCAGATATATCAAAACAAAATAAAGGAAAAAAAAAAAATCTGGGTGAACCACACCAACATACAATCACCAGTTAAATACAATATGACAACATCACCATGTGTCAGAGATGACTGACAATTCCATTTCACACAAAGAAGTAAGATAAAGTACTATGAACAAGGGACCAAAATACAGAGTGAGAAAATCTCCCTGAGGAAAAAGTGGCATTGGAACCACCTGATAAGGAATTCAAAATCATTCTATTTAGGTCCTTCAATGGAATGAGAGATCAAGGAAAAGACTGACAAAATTAAGGGGAAAAAAAAAAAAGACAAACCTCTAGTAGAATTTAGGGAAACAATGCAAGAGAAACTGACAAAATAAATGAAACATTATAAACCATAAAAAAACA